CATTTTCTTAGCACTTACAGAAAAAATCTTAATTACAGAAACAAACAAAAAGCTGAACTGTAATACTGTATAGTCAATAACGAGTCATTCAACGACGCATTCAACCGCCGAGGCATCGAGTTGACCAAATTTCTAAAGTAGTCGTGAAGAATTGCCTAGAAATCTCCCTGAAGGGCGAATCGTAGCTCTTGACAAGTCTCTGACATGGCCGAACTGAGGCTAATGGGCCTGTGAAGTTCATCCCCAAGATGCTCTATAAGTTCTAAATTATTGTTGATAAAAAAAAAGACTTGTATCTTCTCTTAAAAAGAAGATATCGACTTGAATTTCGAACCATTGTGTTAAGAAGGGACGAAAAAGGATCACACTTCATCACTTCAATTCAAAACATGATAATGCAGAAAGTTGGAGAATGGTTCTGATTTATCGGAATTAAAAAAAACATACTTTCTTAAAACACTCGTATCTTTTCTTAAAAAGTGGTTATCGACGAGAATCGAGAACTATTGTGTTAAGAAAGGATCACACTTTAATGCAAAACATAATGGAGCTCAGTTTAACCACTCACCTTCGCTACAGGGCGTTAAGAAGTTAAGGGTGAAAGAGTGACTTTTGTTTTTCTTTGTATAACGATCAAGCCAACAGCTTTCCTTAGGACCTTATATCCAGGCTAACATTCCGAAACATGTATATACGATTTGGTTGAAATTTTACCGAAATCGGACAAGAATTGAAAAAGTTATTGGAATAAAACATAAATGATTTGATGATATCAATATAATGTTCTCAAAAACCTCCTGAAACAAATAATGTATTCATATTCCATATGGCCAGTACATAAAGGTTCACTTCAATTTTCAATTTCCTCTTTTTCAAATAATTTTTTCTAAGGATTGTCAAAGTTTCGCTACTATAATGTGCACCACCCCGTATACACATATACAAAAATAAAGGGATATCGGAAAAACTTCGTTCTACGCTCTTTGACTAATGAAAATTAAATGGTGTGTGTGTATTTTGACCTCTATCATGTTGACCTCTCATATATTTTGGATTCATTCTCATTGAAATTGTCCTCTGAGCAATAATATATTGATATATCCACGTAGTATTAATTAATTCGAACATTATTAGCCATGTGGCTCGCTGAATCGATTACAGTCGTGGCTTTTATGAATTTTCTTACTGCCGTTTATTTATAGCAAAAACAAATCTTGACCTTACCTGCTTGTTCGTTATTCTCGGTATTTTTTTTACTAAATACAGGTTGCTTCCTAACCTATAACAATATAAGTGACTTGAAAAGTGTTAGCTCATGATAAAAAATAAATAATAGGGGAGAAATGGGTGATTTTGGACACAATAAGGCGATAACTGCGACTGCTTCATATTCCTCGCCGTATAAAAATTTAAGCAAATTACTCGTTTTTAGTGAGTCTATCATGAATTAATTCCTCAAATACGATATATCGATTCATTTTCAAGATCATTCAAATCTTGATAAGAGTTTAAATATTTGATTGCCTAGCTATAATTTAGTAAATATAAAAACTTTGAGTTTGAATTTATAGTTTATTTTATTATACATGACAGTTACTGTTTCTAAAATATTCATTCAAGTTGATTGATGTGGTGCTTGTACAAGAAACTAATTTAAAAAGTTCATTTTAATCTTCAAAACGCCTTTGTATCTCAGAAACGAAGCAAAGTCGATAGTATACAGGGTGCTTCAGATCCAAATGTACATACACGTTACCTCCCAGCGAGCACAAACATCCCTGGGATGTTTTGAAAATGTTGACAGGAAGATATGTTATTTTGAGACGTAATATGCACTGACCAAAGAGGTCTTTGAAGGATATTGAAGTATTGTTTTTGTTCTCCTGTGGCATTTCTTCGTTTGCCTACTGAGAGGTATCCCTGGGATGTTTTGGGATGTTTTAGAAATGTAAGCATGAGGATGTTTTTTTGAGGCGTAATATGCACTTCCCAAAGAGGTCTTAGAAGGATATTGAAAGTATTGTTTTTGTTCTTTTGTGCCCTTTCTTTGTTTGCCCCACCACAACGTCTCATGCTTACGTCACAATACGATGAATTCTGATTTGTTTTCGATTTTGTTCTTCTTGTTCGCAATTGGCATTCGCGTTTGCAGCGTGTCACGCTTACATCACGCTGCTAACGAACAGAAAGGAATTTGGTGAAGTTTATTGTGTTAGAAGACTTATTTAGTTTGTATTAAAATGACCATCAGATGCAAGATGTGATGTTCGGTGCCTCAGTGTAATCAATATATAAAAGTACGAATTTATCAATACACAGCTTCTCCGCAGTTGCAAAATTATGCATTGTGGAGAACATTTCAAAAATTGGGAAACCTATTTCCAATTATATGTCTGTGTGTAGTAAGCACTACTCAGAAACCGATTAAGAAGGTAATTTCATATCAAGAAAATATTTTTATGTTCAATCTATTTTTAATGCATTTTTTCATTCAAGGGAAATGGAATCCTAATGCAAAAGTTCATTTTGACAAAAGGCTTCAGAAAAGTACCTCGAAAATTGTTTTTTTACACCGATTTAATGTGCGCAAGACGCGTTGAAAATGTTTTGTTGTGTCCATGAAAAGGCTTTAAAAAAAACTAGGGAGAAGGTATAGTTTTGTGACATATCAAGGACATCTCGATAATTGCCGCCTGCGTCGGACATTGGCTGTTCTATAATAGTTCTATTCATGTGTGATCAGAACATCGCAGTGGAGGTTCAATGTCTCGAAATCTCGTACTTTTAACATCTCTGAAATATGTTTTTGTGCTCGCTGGGTGATAAATCATCTGCCAAATTAAATGCGCGCTCCTAATAAGTAGGTCACTTTATTGATTGGTTCCTGCTCTTTCCAAATATCGAAACAGATCCACAAAATTTTGCCACACAGAATGTTGTTTTTGAAATGAAGAAGTTTTCTGTATTTCCTTAAGACGGATCTGGTTTCTGATCTAGAATTCTATTTAGTTTTGATGTGTAATATAAGTGGAATATTTTTACCAAGTATGAATAGATTATACAACGTGTGGTTCAAAAATTATGACCAGATGAAGATTTTGCCAAAATCAAGATAACGCCTTGTATCTCAGTTATAAAAGATGGTAAACACATCAATGGGGGGTGATTTGAAACCGTCGAAGTGTCCACTATCTGCAAATCTGGAACACCCTGTATAGCTCAATTCATAGTGTGATGATATTCCCCTTGGAGGGGCCTTAGAAACATCAGCAGGAAGGCAGGAGTACAACGATCATCCTGTATCACGCATCCCAGATTGCTCTCCAACCTCTCAATGATTCCTACATACACCAGCATATTTCCGAACACTCAATATATGCCGCAGTGACAAATAACGTCACAGAAGATTCTGGAATGTTCTGGAAACAGTCGATGGAACAATTAGAGAGAGAGGTTTTGTTCTAAGAAGCTTCTAGAACAAAAATAAAGAGACGGAAGATCATTCGAGAACCATCTCGAACCAAAGCCTGCCAAGTGATCTCATATATAAACGGCCGAACAACTGCTGTCACTCTGTCAGTCAGTCGAGCAGCGAGTGTCAGAGAGACAGTTATATACCGCCAAACGTCAAAAAATGTCCATTGTAACTTCTTGCTCCTTGAAACAAAGAGAAAAATGTCTAGAAATTTTGTCATGCTATGGTAAAATTTACAGGCTTCTAATTGGTCGGAAATGTTAGGTGTGGGGATATATACTTTGTTCCCTTTACGCTTTTTCACTGAATAATCAATTTAATGAACTCTCACGAACCTGAAGCGGTTTTTCTGAAAATTAAGATTTTACGGAGGATTTCTTCGAAATCATCATCTGCACAAGTGTCTATTTCTTAGAATAAAAGCTGTCATACTTAATGAATGCTTGCTGTTCTAAACAAAATACCCATGTAATCAGCTGTTAGAAATTGATTACAATCTCGGAATCTATAATTATCAGTAATTACCTAGTGTTCCAGGTATACAGGGTGTCCCATAAACATACCGACAAACTTTAAGGGATGGTAGAGGACATCAAAATAAACATTTTTGCTCGATAAACATAAGTCCGAAAACTCTTCGTTTTCGAGATACAGGGTGTTAAATTCTTTAAAAAAAAATCGTTTTTTTATTAATATCCTAAAAACAATTTAGTCGAATTTAATGAAATTCTCACAGATTATTGATACAGTTTATAAGGTATCTTTTGGAGCTATTAGAATTTGCCCAATAATTTCAGGAGCGTGCCCACGGGCTATGTCGGATAGTTTTTGGTTTTTATTTTTTTCCTTCAAAACGAAGGTAGATACGGAAAAATATCAATGGACAAAAAAGTTGTATTTTTACTTGTTTATTTTAAAAAGACTACTGGGCGATATTTTTTTGTGCAAAAACTATCCGACATAGCCCGTGGGCACGTCCCTGAAATTATTGGTCAAATTCTAATAGCTCCAAAAGATACCTTATAAATGTATCAATAATCTATTAAAATTTCATTGAATTCGACTAAATCGATTCTACGATATTAATGAAAAATCGATTATTTAGAAAAATTGTAACACCCTGTATCTCGAAAACGAAGAGATTCCGGACTTATGTTTATGAAGCAAAAATGTTTATTTTGATGTCCTCTACCATCCCTTGAAGTTTTTCGGTATGTTTATGGGACACCCTGTATAGAATGATAGATAGGAAGGATTGTTAAAAATACTCCCATTCAACAGTTTGGTATTGTTTTATTTCATTCAATTATATAAATATACATCAATTATTTGTATCAATTTTATCTAGGTAGATTTTTCAGTTATGAATCATGTTCATTAGAAACATAATCGGAATGAGCCAAAAAACTAGAAGGAGAATTGAGAAAATTATACACACCAATAATATACCTACTGTTGACAATTGAAAATACTGCACTTTAAAAAATAAAATGTAAATAAAATCTGAAAATACAAATTTGAAAATCTACAGAATCTCGAAAAGTTTCTTCAGTTCCACCATCAGTTGCCAGTCAGTTTTTTGAAGGTCATCTCTGAAATAGTCTTTGCAAGCGTCAATGGACTGTCTTGATATCTGGAAAACGGTTAGTGTATGATTTCTGTAGCACCTATTATACAGGGTGTCCCATAAGTACACGGCTGAAACTCCGAATCGAGAAGTAGAGTACAGTGAAAATCTTTTTAATCTTCTCCTGAAGATGCTAACATAGTTAGCGAAACACGTGTAGAGGCGTTAAAAAATCGGTTTGGTTAGTGGTAAAACAGTGTAGTGTAGTCAAGTGGTACTATTTGTATATGGGCGAAACTGTTCAAATGGATCAAAATATTAGTTATTACCATATATAGGGATTTGTACTGACCCCTAATCACTTGGGTATTAGACGTAGCCATGCAAAATAGCTGGATTTTGACAAAGACTGTGTTCGAAATGTAATGGAGGTATTTGTGTTAATATTCCAAAACATATATCACAAGCGCCTAGTGTTGCCATATGGCAACAGCAGATTTTTTGAAAACCTGAATTCCATTTATGATTCTTTGAAGTTTTCTCGTCTTTCGAAAGCATTTCACACTAGTTAATGGCCATAAAATTTCAAATAAATAGAAAAAAATAATTCCGGCGCTAATGGGTTTGTCGAATTTGTCAAGACGTTATCGTCTTGCTATGTTTATGATGATAGACCTAGTTTTTCATACTATAATTTGGTTATTATTTAAGTAACAACAATCTTCTCGGCCTAGTCCGAAAAACACGTACTTTCATGCCTAGGCCAAAAAAAAGTGCCACTTTCTCGAAGGGAAATCCTTCGGGAATTTGGTACAAGCAGGACGGTTGCCAAAAAAAAATATTCAAAGTTGTTCTGCAGAATATGGTGTCGTAAATCTAGATCCCCAGCTTTGTGAATCGGAAAGAAAGAGATGGCTGGATGCAAAGATAATCAATGAAAATGTAGGTCACCAATCCCGATAGACCACTTTCATTCATGAAAACTAGGAACGACGCCAAAGAAAGGGTGTTAACTGGCATCCTTCCTTTTTTTGCGTGATCTGCAATGACTTCGGGGTGTCCCACTTTGAGCAAGCCAAAACCGTTTGTCTAACGAAAAAAAGTCAAGAGGTTTATTTTTGTTTACAACTACTAAGAGATTACAAAACTGAATTTTATTTTGATAAAAAACAGTGGCGTGCCATTTTTTGATGTAATAAAATTATATCAACGGTTCAGAAAAAGTAGATGATGAATTATTTTTCTGTCGACCTCGTATTAACGACTAAGTTTAATGTATATGAAATCGTTCATTAATGACCCCTATTAATGAACGATTTGTCTATTAATACACGATTGTTTTATAGGCAACCAAACATACACCGCTTGCATTCATTGTTTATGCTATAACTTACGGAATCTGCATTTAAATCGAAAATATGGATTTCATCGAAGATTTTCCGTTAACGGGTTCGCCTTTCCAAGTTTCTGACACGATTTTAATCCCAGTTTTCTAACACAAGGAATTTATGTTCTATATTGATCATTTCGACAAATGTCAAATGTGTCTAATGTCAGTAACAAGGCTACTGGGTGATTTTTAGCAGTTTCCAGATGAATGATGAATTCGCAAACCAAGTTTTCTTCATTGCAGGAGAAATGAGAAATATAGTCGACGGAAAAATTTTGTAACCAACTTGTATATTAAAAGGCGATTAATACACTAGTTGGTTAAATAACTATTCATTGGATTATAGAGGGATTTATCCCCTTTTGAAAGATATAAAAATTAAAATACCATTTCATTTGTTTTTTTTGAAAAAGTATCGAAAATTTGCTAACATTTCAGTTAACGCCATCTAGCGGCGACAGCGAAATTCAAACATTCAAAACCAAATGAGCGTTTTGTAGGGTAAATTATGCTCTTTCATATGAGCCTGAGTTTTCTAATATCGGTCGAAATAAACGGGAGAAATCTTGTTTTGTTTAAAAAAACAATTGAACTCCACTCACCGCTTTATTTTGATAGATAGAACAAAACATTTTGGACAAAAATTGTAGGGAAATAGTCAGTAAATATGGAAATGATATCATCGATATACTTTCATTAGACAAAATTCTATAAAAATCCCATTTTTCTACGGTTGTTACCGGACGTTTGACAATTCGAAAATAATTTCCAGCGACTTTTAACATGATTTTTTTTCTCAAATCTATACAACCAATATCTTATGAGATATGGCCGCTCTCTACCCTTAACTAATCACCCTGTACAGTGTTCCGATAGTTGAGCAATCGTAAAAAATGTGAAATATCTATGGAACGTATCAACAATTCGAATGTCTTCTAACTTTCATTTCAGACATAATATTTCAACTTATAATTTGCAAAACTATTCTTTTATGACCTTTCTTGAATGTCCGAAGTCTCGTATTGTGACAACTGCCTTGACTTGCAAACAAAAACGAACAATGTTTTAAAATTACCTGAATATACAAACCAGTAATGTTGATAGCTTGTCAACATATTCTTTTTTTCTGTGACGGGAAAAAAGTTCGGCATTTCATCTCTGTTGGCAGGTTATAAAATGTCACTTTCCATAAACTATTTTCCCGGATATACACTGTGTCCATAAAGTCACCCCCCCCATGGTTAACTATCGAACGGATGGGATTTTTTTTTTCAATTTTTATTTGCTCCAATGGTAGTTTCAGTGCTACATATTGTTCCAAAAAAAAATATGTATCCTCCAAAATGGCGCTTGGGCGCCATTTTGAAAGATTTTTTCAAATGGAGTGGGGGGTCGAAAGATACCTCGATTGAAAGGTCTTTCGATTCTCTATACAACCTCAGAATCTCAGACGAAAATATTCATCCAATACAAAATGGCGGATGATAACGTTTGAAATCTCACACCAGAATACTTTCGACTAGATGGCTATTAAAGTGCTCGCATGTGATCTTCAAATCTCTGTTGGCGTATAGAAGAGTTCTCTATCTATGAAGATATCAATAGGAAGCCATTTTGAAGAGAATAACATGGTAGTCAATTATTACCTTTGCTCGATTGTCTTTCCAAATTCTGCAAAATATTAGAAATATTTATTCAAAATAAAGAACAATGTTTATTCCACGTTACTACCATGTTATTCTCTTCAAAATGGCTTCCTATTGATATCTCCATGAATAGAGAACTCTTCTATACTCCAATAGAGATTTGAAGATCACATGCGAGCACTTTAATAGCCATCTAATCGAAAGAATTTTGGTGTGAGATTTCAAACGTTATCATCCGCCATTTTGTTTTGGATGAATATTTTCATCTGAGATTTTGAGGTTGTATAGAGAATCGAAAGACCTTTCAATCGAGATATCTTTCGACCCCTCACTCCATTTAAAAAAATCTTCCAAAATGGCGCCCAGGCGCCATTTTGGAGGATACATATTCTGTTTTTGGAACAATATGTAGCACTGAAACTACCATTGAAGCAGGAAAAAATTGAAAAAAAAATCCTATCCGTCCTAAAGTTAACCAGGGGGGGGGGTGACTTTATGGACACAGTGTATATCACATATAAATACACTGTTGATGGCTTTTGTTGTGATATAGTTCCGAAAAATGAGTCAATAATACCGTCTCCGGGAAAGAACTGCAAGTCCTTTTATCTTCCATTGGACTTCGCGGTAACGTATATTACTAAACAACCACTAAATTCGCATATTTTTTAATCAAATCACATAATTAGACTGACAGAAGTGACATCGGATATTTGATTACTTCAAGAGAATGATAAAGATGCCTACAAGGCAGGTGTCCCTACTGTTAAAAACTTAAAATCTCACGTCGACGATTTTCAGATTTCAAAATAATGTAATATCTTCTCAATATTGATTCGGCCTTTCTTCTGTCACAGAAAAAAATAGTGTATTATACACGGGAAAAATATTAGATTTTAGCTCACGGTTTTTTGTCTCTCTCCGCTACGCGTCGGGAGACAACACAACCTGGAGCTAAAATCTACTACTTTTTTCCCTTGTATAATAAATAACTATTTAGACATATATCGAATCTGAAAATTCAATTTTTCTTCATATTCTGCACACCAAAGGGGTATACTACCCAATTACTTCCGGTGTCATCGAAGATGATTCCAACTTTAGAATTTCTGAATATTTTCACATTTTTCGATTCTGGAGACGATTGAGTACGATCACAAAGTTTTGAAAACCAAATGAGCTGACTGGTTCTTGAGAATGCCCATTAGATATGAATAATATTCTTGATCCGAATGAAAAACGCTATTTTTTCTGCAATCGAAATAATTGATGTCCAATTAATATATATTAGTGAAAATATCACCATTTTAATAACAAAATTAGCTCTTGAATAATTGACATTTCTGACATAAACATAGGTTTGTTGTCTGTTCTACTCCCGAAAATCATTCAAAAATCAAACAACATCCCCTTGTTTCGAATGCCCATATTTTGAGAAACAAATAGATAACATATTGAGTGGAGGATATTTGGAGAGCTCTTCGGAAGGTATTTAAATGATGAGGACAGAGATAGGGTTTTCTATTTAAAATGCAAACACATTTTGCTGTTCTCTGTATACTTTCTCAGATAGACAAAATGTATCTGTTCATTCGAGAAAGAGAAAGAACCTCTGTGAAGCTGCTTCAATGTTTTTTTGCCGTCAAAACTTAGAGAGAAGACACGTGACTCCCAGTAGGCACAATGTGAACCCACCATGGTGACTGCCAAATAAAATAAAATAAATCGTTCCAAGTCGGAAGTTCCATAAGAAACTTCAGATTTACTCTACAATATTGGATTACCATGAAACTTTTGGAACGATCTTTGAAAACAACTCATGTTCTATCCCACTTCTGACCCCATTTCGTCGATTAACGGTCGTCATGGTGATGACCTCGTGACGCCAGAGGCGTTCGAAACGTAACCCGGAAAATTGCCGCGAAGCGGAAATAGTTATTTGTTTTACTAGGCAGGAAAGCACAATATTTAATGCCGTGGTTGATGAGTCGTCCATTTTAATACCAAAATTAGCTCTTGAATTGACGTTTCTATTACTGACACAAACATAGATATGTTGCTAGGCAACACTTTTAGTTCTTAGGAAGGATGTACTAGGTCATCAAGAATAAAAAACATTGTTACGGTTGCTTATTTGGGTTGGCACGCATACCTGATTTGCTTCCAATTTCGGCAGATTTGGCATTTCATACCCATGCTGGAGATATAAATAGGTGCATCATATAGTTGAGTATTTTTGTTTTGATCAGGAAAGCCTTCAAGATTCACATTCTTGCTCGATCTGTGGTTCATTTGGGATCTGATTGATTGAATTACTTGTTTTTGAATAATCACGGCTAGCAATATTTGTTTGTCTCAAACAACGATATTAATCTTTTAATTGAGTCAAACACAGTGGAATAAGGAGATTCATAATCGCTATTATTATTGTCGAGTGAGCATAACCTAACATTTTCCACTTCTTTTTCCTATACCTGGCACTGGCGTGGTATTTGCCATTAGGGCTGACACCTGGTCCAAATGAATTCATCGATTCAATAGAATGCACAAATAGGTAACTCTGTGGTTGTATTTATATTGAAACTACAATTCGAACATCCTTGAAAATTGAATAAACCTGATCTATAAATGCAGGTAGAATATTCTCACCACACGGATCTGGTAACATATCTCAGGTTAGGTTACTAGATCTGGTAACATATCTCAGGTTGGGTTACTAGATCTGGTGACATATATCTTAGGTTGGGTTACTAGATCTGGTGACATATCTTAGGTTGGGTTACTAGATCTGGTGACATATCTTAGGTTAGGTTACTAGATCTGGTGACATATCTTAGGTTGGGTTACTAGATCTGGTAACATATCTTAGGTTGGGTTACTAGATCTGGTGACATATCTTAGGTTGGGTTACTAGATCTGGTGACATATCTTAGGTTGGGTTACTAGATCTGGTGACATATCTTAGGTTGGGTTACTAGATCTGGTGACATATCTTAGGTTAGGTTACTAGATCTGGTAACATATCTTAGGTTGGGTTACTATATCTGGTAACATATCTTAGGCTAGGTTACTAGATCTGGTAACATATCTTAGGTTGGGTTACTAGATCTGGTAACATATCTTAGGTTGGGTTACTAGATCTGGTAACAAATCTCAGGTTAGGTTACTAGATCTGGTAACATATCTTAGGTTGGGTTACTAGATCTGGTAACATATCTTAGGTTGGGTTACTAGATCTGGTAACATATCTTAGGTTGGGTTATTAGATCTGGTAACATATCTTAGGTTGGGTTACTAGATCTGGTAACATATCTTAGGTTAGGTTACTAGATCTGGTAACATATCTCAGGTTAGGTTACTAGATCTGGTGACATATCTTAGGTTGGGTTACTAGATCTGGTAACATATCTTAGGTTATGTTACTAGATCTGGTAACATATCTCAGGTTAGGTTACTAGATCTGGTAACATATCTCAGGTTAGGTTACTAGATCTGGTAACATATCTCAGGTTAGGTTACTAGATCTGGTAACATATCTTAGGTTGGGTTACTAGATCTGGTAACATAACTTAGGTTGGGTTACTAGATCTGGTAACATAAATTAGGTTGGGTTACTAGATCACTAGGTCACAAATGGCGCCCAACTAAATCATAATCTACATAAGTTGAATAGATATATTATATTAAATTTTTCGATTTTTTTTTCAAAAGATAAAAAAAAATTATTCATGCCATTTGCCCTTTGAAATTTTGTAATTAAAAATTCTGTCGATAATATACATTTAATATCTTTACAGCGAGATAGGCTGCTCAAAGAAGAAGTTATTTTTGAATTGTGCACGCCATCCACGTTCCTGGTAGTATTGAATTCCTGCCTGTAGTCTCTGATGACATGATGCATGTCAACACAAATTGTAACAAAGTAAAGTAGTCGGAGGTGTTGCTTCTACCTACTCACTCATATCATTATAATAATCTGTCAAGTAAGTCACATCGGTGGTTACTTCACTTATATTTATTTTTAATTCTTTCGGTTGCAGAAAAAATAGCATGTTTCATTCGGATCAAAAGTGTCTTTGTTTGACTCGCAAATTTTGCCTAGGCAGGGGAAGTACAACTTTCGTGCCGGTGAAATGAAATTTAAAAAGTACTTTCTATGTCATTTGGAGAGAAAATGCATTTCCTGCATCATTGAAGGGACTGCGAATGGTAAATAAAACGGTGATGAATATTCTATATGAGTGGGAGGTGAAATTGAATTCTGGTTAGTCGGTTGCATAACGCCTTTGACAGATGATTGAATATGTAACAATTATTATATTTTTCCACATGTAGCTCCAGAACACATTATCTATTCATCATGTTTTCTACATACTCACCGTCAAACTGATCGATCCCCTGGAAAAATTGCTCAAAAGTCCAATTTGTTTATGATTCTCAATATTATAGCCTTTGTAAATTCATGAGGAATTTGACACTAATTTGAAACTTCAAAAGAATCGGGTACGTGGCTGTCGCATGATATCAAACAGATTAATACGATATGATCAAGAAAATACTAACCTTACTGATAAGGAAGTCCGTCTCGTCAAAATGTCTACCAAACATTTTGGGAGATTCACCAGGTACAGGTTCGATCTTGATGCAGACTTCCATTCCTTTCCTGGCACTGTCTACATTTTTGTGGTTATTCTCTATACTCGTCACTATACCTATATCCAGGAACTGGAGGGAAAAAAATCATGAATTGAGCTCACCACGTTTCAATCAATAATTACAGAAACCTCAAACAATATTTCCTTGTTTTACTAGGCAGGAAAGTAGTAAATTATAAATAGAAAACACGATTTGGTATTGGTTTAAGACGCTTTAAGATTAGGCTTGAAGACGCCAGATCGCACAAATATGGCTCTATAGTCCAATAAATGAAGAAGGAAAAAAAGGCAAAGTTAACGTTAATTACGCACTATTTTCATCTTCCGGTTGGAAGTAGCTTTTGGTACCTCATTAAACATGAGACAAAGTTTGACTGGAAAACGCATGCGATGGCGGAGAAAATGGCCCCAATAGACCAGGAAAATAGGTTTTCAGCCAATATTTCATAAAATATGGCAGTTAGAGATTTTCGGTTCAGATAAAAATTGAAGTTCAGTTAATTTTCTAGTCTAGAGCACAGTCCGTGTATTTAAACATCGGCGGGGGGACAAATTATTCAATAACTTTGTTAAAAATGCATATTTTTTCATGAATCAAAGTTCATGTGAAAGAAGAATTCTGCTGCTATCATACCTGCGTGGCCGCATGGTTTGTAGCAGACAACCCGAGCGCCACGTAGAGCACACACGCGGCGAACGACGGAGGAACGAAAGTAATAAATTATAGCGTGTACATTTAGATATACTGGTTTTTTCCCGGGATATCAAAGGTATGATTTATATACATCGATGGAAAGGTGGGAATTCCCCCGTTACACTAGCTAAGGTGTTAAGATGTTAGAAATAAAGAGCACGGAGAAAAAAACCACCGAAAAAAAAGTGCGTTTTTTCCTTGGCACCGCTTTTTCTAATTTTATTGAAAAATGGACGACTTCGTCTAAAAAAGTAATTGAACAATCGAAAAGTAGAAATTCTTAGCTTTCAAATGATGTATCATAGAAACCAATCGATTCATGTATAAATTTTTAATTGATGGTTGTTCACAAAATTTCCCCGCGCTCTGAAAACAACAAAAAATTGGGGAAAATTTAAAAAAAATAGGGTATACCAATTTCAGGGATGACAAAGGACCTTATGAGGACCCATAATCAAGAAAATTTCGAGTAAATTAGTGCAATACAAAAAAAATAGGAACAAATTCCTGGCGAGGTCAAAATTGACCGGGAGCAGAAAGTTTGACCCATGTTCCGATATGGCCAAAACAGTCAAGCGTGACTCAATTCACAGAGTATGATAGCAGCAGAATTCCTCTTTCACATGAACTTTGAATCATGAGAAAATATGCATTTTTAACAAAGTTATTGAATAATTTGTCCCCCCGCCGATGTGTAAATACACGGACTGTGCTCTCCGGCATACAACACAGAAGCTCATTATTCGAGGTGCGCTTCGTGCCGTTTTTCTCGAAACCGGGCAAATTTTCGAGAAAAATGATGAGGACCATTTTTGTAGAAAATTAACTGAACTTCAATTTTTATCTGAACCGAAAATCTCTAACTGCCATATTTTAGGAGATATTGGCTGTAAACCTATTTTTCTGGTCTTTTTGGGCCATTTCCTCCGCCATCGCACGCGTTTTCCAGTCAAACTTTGTCTCATGTTTAATAAGGTACCAAAAGCTACTAGTGCGTAATTAATGTTAACTTTTTCCCTTTATTTATTGGACTACTAATCGTTACCGTTTTACTGAGCAATGCCGCTCACCTCTTTGCTGGGCACGCAGATCGGAGTGCCCTCTCGCACAATACCCGCCTCGATCATCACTCCTGCCACTATCGGGTCCCTCGAATTGAACACGTACTGCGGCAAAATCTTCATCTTGCACGGGAACACGGCCACGTGCTTGAACTCCTCCCGCTTACGCTGCTTCAACTCCTCGCGGTAGGCCATGAACTTGTCGAACAGGTGGTAGATGATGTCGGCCTGGAAGATTTTCACGCCGAGTGTGTCGGCCAACTCTTGGGCGTCCCGTTCGATTTTGACGTCGAATGCCAAGATGGTGGCGTACCTGAAGGGTTGGGGTGTGTGAAGAAACAGCTGCTTCAATAGCTACGGCTAGAGTTCCTAAATGACACTGCTGATTTTGACGTTTTTTGTATTCGCGAAAATCACGAACTGTGCGGCCTCTGGTGGCTAACTGTACAAGTCTTGCGAGTATGAACAACAAATATAGCGACCATTGTTTTGAATTTCATAAATATGTGTTTTATTCGAAAATAATTTATTTGTTGAAGTGCATATTCCAGAACCTCATTCCTCCCTGATAAAAAACTCGAATTATTGCATGAACTTTTATTGTTTACAATGAAGAAACCAGTACCTACCTTATAATAATATAATATACATTTGAATTAGAATCATTGTATAAATGTTGGTTGCAATGATTTGATCTTGAGAATAACTCCAAGTCCTCAATTGCTGGTGATCCTTGTTTATGTAAATCGATGATATTGTTCATTCTGAGCAGCCTCTCCAACCATATCTTCGTTTCTAACCCCTTCACTAGAATTCCATCTCCTTCATAAAAGCCAGTGATATTTCTTGATGAATTCAATTATTTCTTCATACCTATACTATATTGTTGTAATAGCTGATTGCTTATATGGTTCCATTCCAGTCCATGCAAGTGTTGAGTGGACCATTCCGATCATTCCTCATGTTTGAAAACTGTAGGATTGTAGTGTGATATCAATGATGAATACCACCATTGTCCACATCAAAACGGCAATTTCTCTGCACAAAAAGTAATTTTTTCCATACTGGAAACCTTGTACGTATTTCAAGAAGTCAACTTATTATTCAATATTTTGCAAAATGATTTGGAAATAACCAATTTGCAATGAGTGCATACGGCAATGTTTTTGTTATTCATACTCAGTTGGAAATTTGACGTTGATTTGACGTTTAATAGAGCCATCTATTGGTTCGTGATTTTCGCGAATATTAGAGTACGGACACTATGTCAAGCACTGACAGTCAGACATAACCACAAATAAATTGATGAAAAAAGTGGGAACTGACAATGGGTTGCGTGCAAGAACTGTCAGATGACCGACACTGGAGGCAAAACATTGAAACACAACGTCATTTTTCTTATTTGTTTACAAGTGATCGAAATAGTTTTCCACAATTATTTTGCATATGAATCGAATTTTTCCGCTATTCATCAATTCGCTCATGCCATCACATTGTGCTGTTGTAAAATGCACAAAAACTGCAGCGGAAGATGGAGGAATCCGGATGGTACATTATGATTTAAAAGTAAGTACCTACTATAGTCACTCACATATAGTTTTCATTTTGGAAATTTGGTTATTTCTCTGATTTCTCATCGGAATTCCTTCTGCAATAAGAGCTAATAGAAATATACCTGGAATTTCTAGAATAATGCAAGAAGATTGGATTCATGCAATCAATCGGGAGGACTGGTCTGACATGCTGACGATCGTGTGTGTTGTAGACATTTTCAATCTGTCAGCAGTATTAGCTTGTATTGCAGAAGTGGCAGAAGGCAGAAGGAATTTTAATAAGGAATGACAACATTTCATAATAATAACTATATGAGATGACTATTTACCTGAAAAATCATATTCCCTAGTCTCTTGCTGCATTGTTTGTGCATTGTACAACAGCACAATGCGAAGGCATGCTTGAATTAATGAATAACGCAAGAAACATTATTCGTATGCCAAAATATTGTGAAAAACTATTTCTACCTTTTGATTCCTCTGTAAACAAATGAAAAAGTGAGGTTGTGTTTCAATAATTCACAGAAGAGTGAGGTTGTGTTTCAATATTTTGCCTCCAGGGTAGGTCATCGTGCACGCGACCTATAATAGGTCTTCTGTGAATTATTGAAACACAACCTCACTTTTTTATTTGGTTACAGAGGAATCGAAGGATTAAAATAGTTTTTCACAATATGTTGGCAAGAGAATCGTATTTTTTGCGCTACTCATTGATTCAAGCATGCCTTCGCATTGTGCTGTTGTACAATGCACAAAAAAATGCAGCGAGAGACTAGGGAATATGATTTTTCAGGTAAATAGTAATCTCACATAGTTATCATTATGAAATGTTGTCATTCCTTATTAAAATTCCTTCTGCCTTCTGCCACTTCTGCAATACAAGCTAATACTGCTAATAGATTGAAAATGTCTACAACGCACACGATCATATTTCGTCAGCATGTCAGACCAGTCCTCCCGTTTGATTGCATGAATCCAATCTTCTTGCATTATTTTAGAAATTTCACGTGTATTTCTATTAGCTCCTATTGCAGAAGGAATTCCGATGAGAAATCAGAGAAATTACCAAATTTCAAAAATGAAAACTATATGAGAGTGACTATAGTAGGTACTTACTTTTGAAACATAATGTACCAACAAGATTCCTTATTCTTCTGCTGCAGTTTTTGTGCATTGTACAACAGCACAATGTGATGGCATGAGCGAATTAATGAATTGCCAAAAAAATACGATTCGTATGCCAAAATAATTGTGAAAAACTATTACAATCCCATGGGTTGCGTGCAAGAACTGTCAGATGACCGACCCTGGAGGGACAACATTGAAACACAACCTCACTTTTCTATTTGTTTACAAGTGATTGAAATAGTTTTTCACAATTAGTTCCATACGAAATAAGAGTATGTTTCTTGAAATTTATCAGTTCTTACCCCATTCTCAACTTTTGTGATAAACAAATATTCAACTGAAAGTATATATTCAACTGAAAGTATATACAGTATGATGCAAATGTATGGAATAAATTCATTATTTCAGAAATGGGCGACATTTGAAGAAATTCCAAAAACACGTGTTTTAATTTTTGAAGCCTCATCTCATGACATTCATATGAGAGATATTACGTCACTGGTATAGAAGTAATGACGTAATGGACGATTTTTTCAAATACAAGCAGGGGTCATGTGACAACTCGTTTGAAAGGTCTACTGATCGTCTATCCAACAGTCAAAATTTTGCATAAGAATATTGCAATTAAAATGGATTATCATTTGGTTAACTGAATCTTGCAGAGGTCTGCTACTGATAATTGAACATCGAAGGGTCGTCTAGTTGAAAAAATACACGATAAAAAAAGCTCTGAACTCTAGTTTTTGGATTTTTTTCGGAAGTCGTCTTGTTTTGAAATGAATGTATTCCATACATTTGCATCATACTGTATATATTCCGTTGGTATATTGAAGTCCTTCAGCCTTATCATTCAATATTTCGAGAAGAAATAATTTTCTAATCAATTTACCGTACCCTGTTACCCACTCGAGGAGACGCTATGCACTCTCATACAAAAATCAAAGACAAAGAAAGATATATGGATGTACTCTTCCCAGGACTTGCGGAGGAAGGAAGATGTGAGGATCCTTTATCTGAGCGAAAAACATATTCTTGTCCTTGTCTGGCAAAACATATGATTTGCTTCAAAATCGTTTGTGGTTATGTTTGATTGTCATTGCTTGTCTAGTGTCCGTACTCTAATATACAAAAAAAGTAGTGTCAAGTACATTTAGGAACTTTAGCTACGGCCACACAATACATTGAATTATACAGGGTGTTTCAACGAAAATTTGTTCCCCTATAACTAAACTACGCAAAACTAATTTCGTCGCAACCCAAAATTTTGCCTCTGTTGAAATATGAATAACTTTTTTCTGCTTTGAGCGAATTGAATTCGGATCACACTGTTCGCTAGCACAGTCCTTCAGCTATAATCTCGTCTCATATAAAATCGCTACAGGGTGTTACCTGAAACTGTGCAAAATTTCGGAAATTTCAAAAGTATCCCAAATGAAGAAAAACTTCTTTCCAACTTTGACAATAGAGGCATGTAGATGATCTCATTATCTTGAGACAGTTCTGAAATTGCCTCTTTATCTCTTTTATTCACAGAGTGGTCTCAAAAAATTAACTTTTTCGTTTTGAAGTCATAACTTTTTTCCTCGTCAACCGATTTTTGAAATCTCAGACTAATTTCTAAGCTTAAACTTCAGATGAAGACATATGAAGATCAGAATTGACTCAAGATTAACATTATACAGTGTGTCTCACTTCAAATGGAAGCACCCCTGTATCTTTCGTAATTGTTGAGTTAGGATTCTGAAATTTGCAAGAGCAGTAGATATACTGAAAATACACACTATGACTAAGTGGAGTCGTCTCCAGTGATATACACTGCTTGCCAACAGCTATGGAACCATTTGAGTTTTCCACTCACTGACAAGATATAGGAATATTGATTTCCGAGGAACAATTCTTATGATAAACTCAATACTTTGGCAATGTTTCAACAAAAACATATCATATCCTTGAAATGTCTTTCAATTATCACTAATTCCTATCAAATATGGAATAATAGACGCGTTGATTGGACATATAATTTCATTGATAAATGAATACGTATTTTATATACTTACTGGCTCTCATGTTCCAGCATGATAGAAGCCTTCATCACGTCTTTCTTTACTACTGGGCCGATTCTTATCCCACAATACTGCAACAAAATGAAATTGATAGCAAAATTTGATTTGAACATGCTGTTAAAAACAATTAGGACAATTATTTGATACCTGAATGGTATACCACGAATAAATCTCCTCAAGTCAGATAGTACTTAAGTACTTATTAAAACATTCCTTCTTCTGGTTGGAAATCGTAGTGTTATCAACAACTTTTTGTTGTAGATGTACTTGTGATCCAAAATAGCGAAAACAACTTAGAATTCGATGTTTTTACAGAAGAAACTAACACATTTAGATACATACCTAATGACTCCAACCACTGTTTTCAACACAAAATGGCAAGTTTAAATTTTCTAGTACATAGATTGATTACATTCTCTCTGAGCAGAGAAAGTTTCGATGCTGAAAGAAGTGTTGTTTATAAAGTGGCTGGCTTCAATGGCTATGATATCAAAATAGTAGATAAATTAATACGTAGACATAAATTTAAGTTAACACTTTGAAATCCTACGACTTTTCAAGTGACTTAGATTTTGGAAGCGTTCATCAGTCTGGGTCAAAATTAGGCAATTTATTAGGCAATCCGAAAGATAAAGTGGACACACTTGAAAAGTCAGGAATATACGAAATAAGTTGTAATAATTGTGATGAAACATATATAGGCCAAACCAGGCGATCCATAAAAACAAGGTTCAAAGAACACATAGCACATTTAAAATATGGTAGGATAGATGAATCGTGTGTAGCCGAACCTATGTTCAATCACAATCATAACACACATATTACTAACCTCAAATTAGTTGAGCAAGTTAATAATATTAGAAAATGAGACGCATATAAAAGCATAGAGATATTTGAGAATAGTAATAGAGTAATGAATGAGGATAATGGACCTATTTCATATAGTCCTCTATATAGTTTAGTAATATAAAAATTAAGATCAACATGTGAACTCAACCATTAACTTGACGGTTAGTATTTTTCACGGTTGGGTGAACATATACCTCGTATATAAGCAGCACACTAACATAGTTAGCGAAACACGTGCCGAGGTGTTTAAAAAAACAACTTTCAGACAGAAAATCGTAATCAACGGAAGGGGAAGGCATGACATCGTTTTCGAACACAATGGGTTGAACGCTTGCATACGGAGGTGATCGTATGTCGGAACGCATTTGAGACTGTCAGAGGCGTGCAGTATTGGAACACCTGCACTTGATCCGTAATTATGATCACAATTTCAGATAATCTTCTTTTTCTATCCAACTTACAGTGTCTATAGCTCGGAGAGTGTGCATTTCAAGATATATGTTTTCAAATGAAGAAAAAGTATTATTTTGATCCCAACAATACGTCCTTGAAATATTTTCATCGAACCCTGTATATCAACGCAGACAGAAATGATCTGCTTTTCGTACAGATATTTCATTTTTATGGTAACATAAACGAGGAGCGAATGCCCAAAAAAGTTCCGAAATGAGCTGCCTTTCGTTTTATTGCTTGTTTGATAATGGCGGAGTTTCCTACATTCAGATTTATTATTCTTCCGTTAAGTTTATAAAAACCACTGTTTACGTATTTTCATTCTCTGCATAGGATCAGATTCAGGAAATAATTCAAAGAATTCGTTCTGGCTCCTTCACCATTTTGCCATATTCACATAGTGCATAGAGCTATGGTGGATTTACACAGCAGTTTTAAGTTATAAGTTTCAAGTCACGAGTATTTAGTCATAAGTCTCAAGAAATTCATTCATTGCTTTTCAATATAAACGTTCATACAATTGTCATAAGCAGTCATTAGTTTTAAAGTTTTTCTTACGACTTACAACTTAGAACTTATGACTAATTTGCTCTGCTCATGAGCCATGTGCTACCATTCGTGATTTCGGTTTGTTTACATTTGTTTCAATCAAATCAAATCCGAAACATGTATTTGTAACTGCTGAATAATAGAAAAAACAATTCTGTGTTACCTCAAACTGACCGGTCTCAAAGTGTCATTCTTCACAACGAAGCCTCAAAGCAATTAGCTGTGAAACATGGAGTTCCGCAAGGCTCTGTACTTGGTCCCTTGTTATTTTCATTATATGTGAATGACTTGATGCAAATCGATATTCAGGGACAATTCACCGTATTTGCTGACGATACGACTATTATTTGGCATACGAAGAATTCCTCAGTATTGGGAAATATAAAGAAAGTTGAATTATGGTGTGACACCAATTCATTATCTTTCAATATTAACAAGACAGGAATTATCAATTTCAGGTGTGATATTGATAATGTCTTCCTCGAAAATGAATGCCTCTAATAGAGATACTCACAAGTTTTCCGGGCTGAACATTGATGCCAAATTAAAATTTGAAAGGCACACACTACTTCTGAGTAAAAAGCTAGCATCTGGCTGCTATGCTGTGAGGGTCACTTCAAATGAATTGGGATTAATTGCGGCCAAAAATGTTTACTATTCACTCATCGAATCACATTTGTGTTACGGCATTTGTTTCAGATCTATCTACGACATAAAAAAACGTGAGCTAAAATCTAATATTTTTCCCTTGTATAATACACTATTTTTTTCTGTGACAGAAGAATGGACGAATCAATATTGAGAAGATATTACATTATTTTGAAATCTGAAAATTATCGACGTGAAATTTTTAGTGTTTAACAGTAGGGACACCTGCGTTGTAGGCATCTTTATCATTCTTTTGAAGTAATCAAATATCTGATGTCAGTCTAATTCTGTGATTTGATTTCAAAAAATTGCGAATTTAGTGGTTGTTTAGTAATATACGTAACCGCGAAGTCGAATGGAAGATAAAAGGACTTGCAGTTCTTTCTCGGAGACGGTATTATTGACTCATTTTTCGGAACTATAGCACAACAAAAGCCATCAACAGTGTATGAAATGCCAAACTTTTTTCCAATCACAAAAAAAAGATATTTTTTTGTAGGTGATGGGAAAATTATTCGATTGTATATGTTTCTCATACAGGAAATTATGCATTCTTCTTCTGATTTTCCTTTCGTTTTCAGTTCGGGCTTCACCCTGTATAACATAATCATTGTAAAAGTAATTCGATGAAAGTTCATCAAGAGTAAACTTCCCCATTTTGTTAGTCATGAATAATAAAAATCGCCCTTCGCATAACTGAATGACCCAGTTTCATTCTTACACTTTATATTTTATCAATGATACCCATTCAACCCCCTCTTACCCCAGACTTTGCAGTATTCATCCCCACTTCGGCCCATTCATTGTCTCCCCAGAGCGATGAAAGGGTGTGGGAAACAAAATCGATGAGATAGGCCCTGCGCTGTTCCAGCAAGAATTTTCGACCAATGAGAAAACAGTTTCGGATGATAAAATTACCTTCTCAAGATTCAAGAAGTTTTGTAGTTTTTTCATGGCTGGATAGGATTGTTTTCTTAGGGATTTGGGTCAAAAGCAATTAAGAGATCCGGATCGCAAAAAATGAGGAAAAAAAAGAGCTTCAAGCTATAAGGAATGAGGCAAAAAGCCTCCAGGATGATTGTTTATTCATTCCAACAGAGGTGCATATCTACAGAGTGTATCTAAATAACACCGAATTTTTTCGCTGTTATTTAGAAACACCCTGTGTATCACTTATCCTCATCACCTCATTATGGCAGTGATGGAATAGAAAAGAAAGAAACTGGTTAATATTCAAAACAATTTAGATCAAATTTGAACCATTATAACTTCTGATTTCCAGAAGAAATTTCCACAATTTTTTTCAGTTCCTGAATACTCATTTCATTGGATATCGAATATGTTGGAGGGTTAGAGGGTGATTTATTGCAGCGCCTCAGAATGAGATATACAGGAGGATACATTATGCTGTGTAACATTTTCAGAGAGACAGAAGCTTTTGAGGACCTTTTTCTGGGAGCAAATACAAGTTACACAATGTTTTTTTTTCTGAAATGGCTATGAAATTTCAAAAACTTACGTTTTCATGTTGTAGTAGCGAATATTTAGGTATCTAAATAGGTAGAGGTATTCGTTTTTTTCGTGAATACTTGAGCTTTCGTCTTTTTGGAGGCTTTACTTTCATTAACGTAGTACGTAGTACTTTAGATGTAATATACAAAGAAACTCAAATCCTACCAATTCAAGACAACTTGAAAATTGAGCAAGGGAAATTTGCATATAAGGTTATAAGAAATGAACTTAAATGTAATACCAACTTTACTTTTGTTAATCAGCTACATGATCACAATACCCGAACACAAAATAATATCTTCTTAGAACCTGTGCGTACCAATATGGGCCTAAACAACCCCATCAGTCAGTGCATGAAGACTTACAATACTCTTCCCAAAGAAATAACAGATAGCCCAAATGTTAGTATTTTTAAGAATCAGATAAAAAATTTCTATACTCATAAACTGAATGAGAGACCCACATAATTTTAAGTTGAGCAATGTAGGTTGTAGGTATATTGTAAACATTAGGGAGAGTTGTGATTAGATAGGTAGGTACATACTGTTTCCGCATCCTATGATATTATAGTTGATATACATATATAATCAATTTCGAATTGTAATTGTATATGTTGCAATTGTTTTTTTAGTAAGTTTTCCGAGACCAGCATTAGATGCTGCTTTGGATAAACCTTTGTCAGATACTGCATTAATATTTAACATTCATTTAACATATCTGTATATCTATATATTATATTTTTTTTTTGTAGCACTATCTGAATAAAGTTCTTGAAAAAAAAAAAAAAAAAAACATAGGCCATTGAAATGGCGAACCTGATATGAAGCATTTTCTATTTGTTTTTTCATTGTTTGTTGTTTTTTTTCAAGAAAATAAAATGCATGTTTCGTGAGTTATTTTTTATAAGAGAGAAAATAAACTGTTAGGCTCATATCTATCAGTTGAGAATTAGGCATAATTAACATATTAATGAATACAGGATGGTCTTCAAACCACGATAAGGTAACTGGAATTGGAAAAAATCAACAAATCTACAGTTTAAAAAAACTCGAAAATTATT